CTTCGTTAATGTCACGTAGTCGACGACCAGAAAGATCTCTGCAAGCTTCACGATTCGTGGTTTTCTCAATCTGCGCCCCAATCGCACGTAACATAGACCCAAAACCGCCTTTCCCGCCCACAAGTCTCGTATGCACCCGGACAACGTTTTCTTTACCCAAATGGAATTCATTGGACACAATACGTCCATTTACTGTTATAAATAAGTCATCTTGTGGAATACCAAATGCTTGTGAAATCCTGCATCGTAGATCTGACGTATTTGAACAATCTGAGTCAGAGATGAAATTATTTTCAAAGTAAATATGGCACGCCATTGTTCAGATGCTTATTTTACAATAATATTTTGAAATTGTGGGCCAAAAAATCTTAGTGATACACTATATTGAAAAATATCAAAATGCTAACACGCCACAGTTTGTCTTTTGTTTTTTGTCAATGTCAAAATTTTAAAACGTCAAATATATTTTGTGTAGATTATAAAAAATAAATTGGAGCAGAGATTTGGGTTGCACAATTCCTAACAACAAAATATTCTGGAAAATTATGGACTGTTGAAAATAACTAACATTTCTGAAACCTAACTGTGCCAGGGAAAGTATCCGGGTCACGAAAGACCAATGAAACAAATAATGAGAAACTTTAAAAAATGTTCCCCTTACAAAAGGTCAACAAGTAAGACTAAGAATGTACATTTAAACTAATAACTTTTATGAACAGTAACAGAAAGACAATATATTTTAAGCAACATTAACTTACTTTAAGCATGGTGGTTGAGACTTGATTTTTTCGCTTCCAGTTTATTTCTACAATACGATAGTAAAACGACTAAACGAAATTCTGTCGAACATCAATTTAAATACGCTACAGTATTAATTCTTGCTTTGTTTTATTTTTATGCTACTGGTAGGCGAATCAATCTAATTTCACGCTTAAGTAAACGCTAAAAGTAATAAAAGTAAATGAAAGTGAAAGTAGAAATCTGGTCCCATAATTTCACTAATTTAACACAGTTGTTTGTTCAAAATCTAATCAAATTGTAATTATACTGCTATGCTTATGTTAATATTGATAGTAAAAAGGTAGTAAAGTAGGTAAAATTATATTTATACAAAAAAATCATATTTATATGAAAAATTAAGTAGATATTTGAAAATTACGTTTACCGAGTCGGCCTGAATTATCTTTGTTTATGAGGGTTTTTTATGTGTTTCATTAAGTATTGAAATATTAGGAATACAATTAACTAATTATTTCTAAATAATATTAATATGACTGTAATTAAAAAAATATAGATCGAATAGATGGCGCTTATCTGTGACGTTGATTGACGCCAGCTTTGCTGTCAAATGAATGGGACATCCAATAAAATTAAAGCTTTTTAAAATTAACAGGAAGTCGTTCTTGTTTAACAGACACTTGGTGATATCTGACTTCGATCTGCTTTTTGATTATGGCCCAAAATATTAATCCACATTACGCGTCTTCGTCGAATCCCGCCAAACAAAACGAGGACACAATAAAATTGAACGACAATCATGCTGTGAGCAAACGGTAAGTCTCGAATGTTTTAACGTATTTTTTAAGTAATATTACTTTGCGCTTAAACGATTCAGTGCATAAATCATTAAGCTTTGTACAGAAATACGATATGTAATTTTGAAATAGTAAATTATTACCTACCGTTGCTAGGTTAATTTGTACAAACGAATTGCAATGTTCTTGTCATGTTTGAACAATATGTTAAATTCATACTATTTGCAGATTAAACATGTAAAAAATAACGTTCTAGAACATTTTATTGGTGCAGCCAAATACACCTGAAAAGAGAATTCAAAAGTCTTTGTTTCACGATTACCTTCCAATTTTACGTTTAAACAATTTGTACTACATTATATTAGATAATCAACTAGAGAAAGTTACACCTCATTTACTAACAATATCCATGAACTCAGTGTTCCCGCCGCTCGTTTGACCCATTCGTTATAAAAAAAAATCTGAATTTTTACTATAGACAAAATTTTTCATGCATTCATTATATTTCAGACTTCAAAAGGAGCTTATGGAGTTGATGCGTTGCTCAGATAAAGGAATATCAGCATTCCCCGAAAGTGAAAATCTATTTAAATGGATCGGCACAATACATGGTCCGGAAGACACTGTGTACGCTGGTCATAAATATAAACTGTCCCTTGAATTCCCTAATTCATACCCTTATGCACCTCCTATAGTGAAATTTGTAACACCCTGTTTTCATCCCAATGTAGATACATGTGGTTTAATATGTTTGGATATTTTAAAAGACAAATGGACTGCTTTATATGATATCCGTACAGTCCTCATATCTATCCAAAGTCTCCTAGGTGAACCCAATACGTTGAGTCCATTAAATCAACAAGCATCTTATCTATGGCCCAATCAACCCGCTTATAAAAAATATCTAGATGAATTTTACAATAAGAACAAAGAATCGTAGTTCAGATTGTTAATGGTTGAGTTGCAATGAAAGTTTTTTTTGTGATCAATCGCTTTTTACGGGAATAGGAAATTTGCTTACTTTGAATTAGGGTTCTACTGGCCTTGGTCTTCAATTTCAAATATCTTAATCTCATTTAATTTACTATTAAAAAGTGATTGGATAAAGATTTGACTGATGAATAACAAAATCTCTGTGACTTTTTCTGTTGTATTCTGTAGCCTTGTAGATGAAAATTATTAGATTTAATACTATTTGAGAGAGTAAACAATAATTTTCGTTTTCCAGACATTGTATAATCTTCAAACTAATTTTAATTTTTCAACAGGTTTTTCTCATTTCAAATTAAATGGTTATACTTCTTTTTATTTACCAAAATCACAGAAATGATGTTCCAATGTCTAATACAGAAATTATATAAAACTTTGTAAACTTGCGTTGATCACTTTCTCTAACCAAGTTAATAATGAATATATTGAAAAGTCTAAAATGTTGTTTGTCTAGTAAAATTATGAGGAATTTATTTATAAATTGTACTATATACAGTTTTATTTCAGACAGTTTGTAAACTGACAGATGTACTTTAAGTGATCATTAATATTACATTTCATTAGTGCAATTCAAATACCTCGTTTTATTACCTTTTTTTGGTATCGGGAGGAAATCTTCGAAAGATGCCCTGTCTTTTATTAAGAGAACAGTGTTATGTGAGATTTCTTCTCACTAAAAACCCCCTCGATGGCCTCCCTCAAGTGCAATTTGAGGGTCCCGGGATCTCCAGTGTTATGCACCGGTACCTAGTTAAAAAATGTTATCACCTAGCTGTCACACGTGACTCCGTCCGCACGGAAATATAAAAATCTTAGTAGTCTGTGTTCTTTCAAACTATGTTCTCAATCTATGTCACATCGAGATCCCTCCAGCATTTTAGGCGACAAACTAACCTCCATCTATATAAAATCGCATATTAATATGACCTATTTTAAAGACTTACTGCATGTAGCATTAGTATCTATATTGAGGGTAGGTTGAATTAAAAAAATATAAGAACAATCATAACAGTAAATATATTTCAATCACTTATTTGCTACACAAGTAATGTACAATCGAAGCTGGATAAGCATAAAAACCTATTATCGAGTCACTTGCAGAAAATACCTTTATTGAGATAAAGAATCCTTGGTTATCCAGGTCCGATTGCAAAAGATAATTTATTTAATACAGATAAATATATAATCTTGTCATTTTTAAGTTGGCATTAAAATAGGCTTGAAGCAGAGGTATTTTATGTTATCGACAAATCGTGAAAGTCGCTAGTTTGTAATTTACCTAGGAATATTGCATATCTATTTGATTCACAAAACGATTAATTTTCTTTTTTAATCTCAGCAATCAGATTATTATTCTATTTTTTTTATCCGGACTGTCTTGCCAAATATAAGCTAGTTAAATTATGATTTTATTAACACACAACACATACACAATATACATATATAAATACTTAAAATATCACTGAAAAAACAAGTGTAATGTGAACCTTCATCACATTGGTCGATATATCAAATTTATTACAAAGAAAGCATACAATTTAATCATCACCAGCTCACTATATGTCCCCACCGAGGGGTTCGGAGCCTACCCTAAGTAAGGGTGACTAGGCCATAGTCAACCACACTGGCCCACTGCGGGATGGTTGACTTCACACATATCTTTCAATTTCTTTGCCGATATGTGCAGGCATCACGATGTTTTCCTTCACCGTAAGAACGTCGGGTTAATGTACATATGAAAATTAGAAAATTCGGGATTCGAACCCAAGACCTGTAGATTACAAGTAAAGTGCTTAAACCACTGAGCCATCGACGCTCTTAATATACAAATACAACACAATTTAATAAGTTAATTATAATATACAAAGACAATCACATAGACAGATATTTACAAAACAAAAGCTTAGGACATAATTTAATATGGAAAGATGACATATAGACAGGAATAAAATTTGAGACAATGTAAAAATTAGTTTTACTACTATACTTGATCATCAGCTTACCCCTTTTATCATTGGCTTGCGCCCCCTAATCATAGGCTAGCGTTACCTAATTATCTGTTAGTGCCCCCTTTATTGGCTAATCCCCCCTTAATCATCGATTAGTGCCCCACAATTGGGTTAATCAGTTAATTATCTTGGTCAAATTAGAACACAGTAAAATACACTTAATTGCTTATACAATAAAGATTGGAATCGTAAAAAACATCTCACTTTCATTACTATTCAAGATTTGCATTATTTTATAAGTCCTTTCAATATTAACTCTTCACTATAATTAGTAGAATAACTAATACAATTATTAAAGCAGCTAACATTAAAATGCAGTACATTTTTCTGTTTTTTCGTTGGTATCTTTCCGCTTTTTGTAACTGTTTATACCCTTCGTGTACTTGGACTTGCGTTTGCTCTATGTTATAATCTATTCGGTCCAACACTGTACCTTGTTCGTGTACCATATGTGCCAAATCTTTGAACACTTCATTCAAGTCCACTATAGATCGGACAATTTTATTAACTTCTTCCTCTCTCTCAGCAATCATTTGTGTATTTTCTTCTTGCATTAATAACATCTGTTTTTGACTTAATGCTTGCCTCTGGAACATTCCATCTAGATCTTTGTCGTCTTCATAGCTATGAGATGTACTCGGTAATGAGAATAAAATATCTGTTTGGTTGTTTGTTAATCCGGGAAGTAGATCGTTATCACCTAAACTCAGTTCTTCAAAATTAGGAAGATCGAAATAGGCTTTGGATCTCTCTTCTCGGGAGGTCAATGATTTCAAGTAGTTAGATTGAGCGGTACGAAATGTTACGCTCAAATCTTGCACCATAGTAACAAGAGCTAGGACAACATTGTTTGCCAGTTTTTGTTCAGTTTTGTTACCTGAAATATGTAAAGAAAATTTCATATAACTATGCAGTACAATAGAAAGGAAGATATAGCAACCAAATTATAAACTACTAACTGTTGCTTACTTCGTCTGTGTGAAATATAAAAAATAAAACAAAACACAGGCTATATTACTCACAGATAAATTACCTTTCTAATGGTGAAAGAATTTTTAAAATCAGCCAAGTAGTTTTTAAGTTATTTCAATACATGCAAAATAAAAAAAATCCTCTTTATAATATGAGTATAGACTAGCTTTCGCACACGACTTTGCATAATTAAAAAGTAGCATTTTTCTTCCAGATTATCTCTTATGTCTATGCCAAAATACATAGATAATTATTAGCAATTTAGGCTATAATCGTCAACAAACAAATATACAAATGGTGGATATTTGTTTTTATACTTTACCGTTCAACGCCTGTGCTTTTATAGCTGTGAGATGTGTGTGTGCATGAGTGAAGAGCCGTCCAATCTCTCCAGTCAGTTTGCCGATGTACTGCTGCTCGGTGCTGTCGTCGAGCGCCGGCCGACGGATCTGTCGCTCGTGACGTGTCTGTAGCTCTGATATCTTGGTACGTAACCTGCAATCAGTTCGGATTACAGGTAAAAACTTTAATGAATAAGTATTAAATTTAGTACTGTCAATTTCACTTAAGACATACAAATAAATGAACTAAAATGCCATGTTTGCTGTATGTATGAATTTGGAAGACAATAGTGATGTACGATAAAAATGTTAAAGAGAATTCTTCATCTCTGTACCCTTTAAGGTGATGACTTATTTTTATATTGACAAATGAGCAAGCATCCACTGGAATTGAACAGAATAGTAAAACAACTGCTGCAATATGTTGCTTTTAATCAACAGAGTAAGGGATGCACAGAAAGAGGTCTTTTATTGTACAAACAGGGTGGAGAGAAGAAGAGGACTAAAATTAAGCATCTGGCATGCATCACTAGACTTAAAATTGTTTTCACGTCACACCAGTTTTCTGTATAAATTTATTGGTATTGCACAGAACGTATATTATGATATATGTACCTAGTGATAACATAGTGTGCTTCCTCCAAGGAGTCAGTCCAGGGTGGTGGTGCACCGGATTCTGCCTTCAGCTCTATCCCTCCTTCCAAATCACGAGAGTTTGAACGCATCAAACCCTCTCGCTCTGAATCGTGTGCCTGTGATATTTTTTTTTTTATTAGCTTTCGCAGGCAACTCCATTTGCGTAATTTTAAAAAAGGTGAGTAGCCTGTGTGTTTTTCCAGATTATTTTTACATCTATACCAAATTTCATGGAGATCCGCTCAGCCGTTTAGGCTACAAACTCTAACAAACATCCATCCATCCATCTAAGCTTTCACATTTATAATATTAGTATGAAATGTGATTCTTAATAACTGATCTGTCTTCTTCTACCCACTTCAAAGTAGTTTTTTAGGTTTTTTAATTAATTAAATACTTTGTTTATACACTTGTATTGTTTATTTACGAGTTATGAAATTCAGGAAATATAATGCCACTAGGGCAAAAAGTAGTTTACGAACTTTGTAAAATATAAAGCAAAAATTATTTTCTCAATCAACCTCAGCTATGCAAAAAGTTATAAACGGTTCCCAAAAACCGTATTTGTCTCGTCGACTACAAAACTTTAATTTAATATTGCGTTAGTACCTCAGTAAATATCTGCCGGCTATGGATAGCATTATTTCTCATAAGTATAAACACTTCAGTTAAACTTCGGGACACCATTTTTACTTTTATTTCTGAATTACAATGTTTTTAATAACAATAAACATTTATTAAAATAATCAACTTTCAGGTTTACAAAATCGCATTACAGTAACTTAATGTCAATGTCAATTCAAATGTGACACTGACGTTCCAGATGCAAAATTACGTTTAGAAAAAATATTTAACTTCAACGGAAAAAAATTGTTTATCCTATTTTCACCATTTAGTTACTCATAATATTTTATTCATCATCATATAAATTTTTAAATACCTAGTTTGAAAAATGTTGTCCAGTAAAACTGTTCACTTCTCAACAGTACTTCTTACTTTTTGATGCGTTTATTTGATTTTATTTTGAAGTGACAAAAAAAGATCCTATTTGAATTGAAGGTTATGTTTATCCTTTTTGTTTTACAATTAATTAAACTAATACATTTGTTTGTATAACGCTCAGGAGTCTACCGGACTGTTTGCAATTCTCCTCGAATCTAAATAGTACACAATAAAATTATATAAATGAGTGCGCCGGTTCATGACCCCGGTCCGGAACAATTTCAACAGTTTCCACCAAACAGAATAATAGTTATACATCCTGGTTCATTATATGTGAGAATAGGAAGAGCTTCTGACCTTCTTCCAGTTAAACAGCTACACTGCATTGCTAGGAAACGACGTCCTGGAGGTAAAATTTATCGGGACCTGTTTGTGCCACCTAGCATCCCTAAAACAAAGGAACTGATAGAAGAATTGGAAGAATGTCGCCTTCAGATATCGCACACTCTTCAGTCATGTATGCAGTCCAATGGATCCAGAAGATATGCTACTCCTCCACAACAAATAGCTGCTTTTAACCGGCGATCATTACCGGACAGTGTTAACGACGGTGAACCATGGCCTCAAGTTGAGTGTGATATTATCGTCGGTGATTTGGTCTTAGATGTCGACCCGGAACTAGAATATAATGTTCATTTTCCATATAAAAGAGGTGATTTTAATATACATTCAGAAATTGGTGGCTCTATTTCTTCTGTATTAAATGATTTGTACACAATTTGGAGCTCGATTATTGAATATAAATTAGGTATACCACTTATGGAACTAGTTAAATACAGATGTGTATTACTAATACCTGATATTTACTCCAGAAGTCATTTAAAATGTCTAATGTCGTTATTGCTGAAAGATTTAGGGTTTGGACATTGTTTCTTAGTCCAAGAGAGTGTGGGAGCCACATTTGGGGCTGGCATAGGATCTGCTTGTGTTGTAGACATTGGTGATCAGAAGACTGCAATATCCTGTGTTGAAGATGGTATCTCACATAAAACCACAAGATTACGGATGGACTATGGAGCTGGAGATGTCTGTCAAACACTATCCTGGATGTTCCATAAAAGTGCTTTTCCTTATAAGAATTGGAATGAAAATACTCCAAGAGATGTGGTATTAATGAGAAATTTATACCAAGATTTCTGTCATGTCAATCTTGATGTATGTGGTCCACAGGAAAAGTCATTCCTTGTTGATCACCCAGGTGATGTAATTAACAAATACACACTGCAAGTTGGTGATGAATGCATAATATCTCCACTATCCTTGTTTTACACAGATTTGCTGAAGATAACTGGACAGAAATCAACTAAAATCCAAAGCAGACAGCCTAGCGACCCAGAGGATCCTTTCGATGCAGAGTTTCTCCGAGAAACTGGCAGAAAACGGGAGACTGTAGACCCAATTGCGAATGAAAGTCAACAATTTGAATCTGTGAATGAAAACCAACCAACTGGAAATGCTGATGAAGATATTGTAGTTGACACACTCGATGGTGGTCCCGGAGACATAGTTTCTTTAGCACCTGGTCAGGTCCTAGGTTTAGATGCAGCTATTTTACAAAGCATTGACAGATGTTCAAGTGAAGAGTTAAAAAGAAAGATGTACAGTAGTATTCTGATAGTAGGTGGTGGGGTTAAAGTTCATGGTTTGAATTTATGGTTGCAAAATAGGCTAGCTCTTCAAATACCTTATGCTTATAAGACTGAACAATTAGAAATAGTTACATCTCCAAAAGACATTGATCCAGCAAGTACAGTTTGGAAAGGAGCTGCGGTAATGTCATGTTTGGAGTCAGCAATAGAGTTGTGGATTAATCAGAGTGAATGGACCAAATTTGGTCTCAAGATATTGAGAGAAAGAGCACCTTTTATTTGGTGAGGGGTTATTTGATAAGTTGGGTTCTTACTGCCACTAACAATTAAAATATGTAAGACTCATTGTTATATGAATATGTTAATAAATGTATATGTATAATTAAATGTATTATTACTTAGTAAAATAAATGACTAGGTAAATCACCTAATTTGATTAGCAAAGTTGAAATAAATTGTATAAATGTCTCAGAGTATTCTGAAGTTGATCTTCATATTGGAAAAACCTGTTTTAAATCGTGACGCTTAGCTTGCTCATGTTCGTTCTAAGCACTACGATTTTATTTTGTGTTTATATTAATAAATAAATATCACAAATATATAACCTGTATTTATTTTAATCTATTAATTGAATGTCACATGTGAGAGTGACAGGATGTGTCATACTGTCAAATAATGGCGGGCGAAGATGTTAGTCATAGTTGTTTTCTGTTTACTTTGAATTTTAACATGTAAACAATTATTAAAAAAAAACACGATGCCTAAAGCGATACGTAAAATGCTCCAAAATGGATATTCACACGACGAACCCGATCGAATACCGAATAATATAACTATAAAGAATTTAGATATAATTATGTATGTGGTGGCTATAGTTGGACATCTAGTGGACCTCGGCCTGGATATTAATGTGGCTGTAAGATATTCTTTAGCACAAAAGATGGTGGAGTTCGGGTGGACGTTGACGTTCATCCTTTTACCGGCTTTCGTTAACACCGCTGTCTCCATTCGTATGTAAGTTTCAAATTCATACAAATTTAACCTTACTGAAAGACCATTAAAAAACAATGTAAATTTTAAACAACAATTTTAGAATTCTGTGCATTTGGTAGATACAAACCTTCATGTTTCAGGTATGCTCAAGATAAGCAGCAGGATTCAGTAACAAATGAGATCACGAAGCGGCACTGGCTGAGAATCTTCATCCTAGTTCTGCAACTGGCTCCTATACTCAGATTCACCGATGCTCTCATGTAACCAACACTATTATGTACTTTTTATCTCAAAATAAGCTTTTTTATTCTATCTGCTTTTGCCTCCAAAACTACCTCTGGGTGGATTTAAAAAAACAAAAGTGAATAGTCTATACTTCCAGACTTTGCTCAACCACATTGCCAATCATTGAGATCTGTTGAGTAGTTTAGGCTACAAAAATCTATTTATTTACCAATACTTTCGATTTTATTGGTATGATTTTACAAGAAAATTTTACAAATTTTGCTGGCATATTCTATGTCATAGCAATAAAACCATTACTTTCAGTTATGCAATAAAGTCTCGTAGAGCAGCACGCAAGCGTGACACATCATCTCAGAGGATGTACTATGGGTTAATGCTGAAGGAAGACTCTGATGCAGCTCTGCTGAGGGTCTTTGAGTGCTTTTTGGAGGCAGCGCCACAACAAGTCCTTCAGACCAGTCTCCTGTTCCGAGCTTATGATCAACTTGCATGTAAGTTAATTTTAAGAGTATATTAGAGTAGGAATTCTAATTCTAAGTAGTATTTTTATAATAATAATTATTTCAGACATCAAAGATTCATAAATTGTTTATGTCCAATTTTTTGTATTCAGTTCAGAAACTCGTAGATAGGTGCTAGGCTTTTGAACGTAATCATCGCTAGAATTACAAAAACACTAAGAAATGCAAATGCACTCAAAGATGTGTTTACACTATTCCAGTGAATTACAATCTAGATTAATATGTGCTTTGTGTTCCAGTGCATCAAATCCTGTCTATTATGTCATCGGTGGTGGGCATGGGGTGGTGCCTGGCGGCCTACCAGCGCGCGGTGCGGTTCGCACAACAGGATAAGGAGAATATGGGCTGGTGCGGAACAGCTCTGCATACAGCATGGCACTTCCTTGTTACATGTGAGTTACTAGAATTGTTGTTTTTACACTTTTAATAGAATTAATGTTTGCAGCTCAGTTGGAGTAAATCAAGAGATGGGAGGTAGACTATTTATTTATTTATTTATTTATTTATTTATTAAGATAAACCAACAGGACAAAATTATAACACATACATTTTTACACGATACAATAAGTAACATGCAGATAATTTGTCCTAATTATAGGTTTACACGACATACATAGAAAAATAACAACAACAACAACAGTAACAACAGCTATTGATTAAGGGGAAAGCATAGATGATGAAGGAAGGGGAAGCAGACAAATGATCAGGGGGAAATTGTAGACTGTCAGAGGGGGAGACAGGTCAATGATCAAGGGGAAATTATAGACTGTCAGAGGGCGACTGACAGTGATCAAGGAAGAAGGATAGATGATTAAGGGACAGGGCAAGTACCCAATGTGTTCTTCTACACTAAATTTCATTGAGATTCGTTTAGCAGTTTAGGCTATAATAACTTTAACGAACATCCATCCATCTTTTTGCATTTATAATATTAGTAATATACGAACAGTAGTTTGTTTTGTCAGAAAGAGGGTAGTAAGAAAAAAATCTTATTTTTTGATTTTATTCTATTTGCAGTAAGTCGAGTGCTATCTATAGCTATCATCGCCTACCTCTACCCGTACTGCACGGTGTTGGCGTGCAGTTGCCACGTGCTAGCCATGTCCGTATGGCTTCAGATATGCGAGCGGCCGCCATTTTGTGCGCATAACAAGATGGCGGAGCTCGCTTTCTCGCTCGCACTCGGCGGTGTCTACCTTTTCACATACATCCTGCCGGTGGAAGGTAGGACTAGATATAGATATACAGTTTACTATACTATATGTTTCTTTCAGAATGTAACTTGCACTATTTTATGGTATTTCTTTGTTGATAATGCTATGAGGTCTTCGTTGTACTTTTATCCAGTTTTAGTGCTGAGTTTTGTGCCGTTTTTGTTAGGTTTAGTGTTTATGGTGATTTATTATTCATTCTTTCATCCGAAAGTTTGTGATAAAAGTGATCAGATTGTTGTTAGATATAAGAATGATGAAACTGTAATGGAAGTTAGTTCATAGCATATTTTTTAAATATTTTTTTTAGTTTTTGTTAATTTAATAATATTTCTTGTACCATTCCAACTATAGTGTGTCGAAATACTTTAGATTAGTTTGACAATTCACTTCAAATTTAGTAGTGATGGGTTGTGAAAAATCAGTCATGAATCTTATCGATTTTCGATTTTTATTCTTATAGATAGATAGTTGGAATTGATAGACTTAACTTGTAAATTAAAAAAACACTGTTTTCTCAAATTAATAATGACCATAACAAATAATGAGAATAAAATAAATGTTTACTACTACAGTACGTAATCGAATTGGATTTCGCTATTATTTCTGTCATCGCTAAATTCTCTACACTATAATCAATACTAGAATTGTCCTATAAATTAGTTAATAAGAAAATAATAATTGTAGTTGAGTTTGATAATTATTTAAACCGAATATCGATAGTTCAAAATTGTTCACTGCGTGTTTGTTTCGTCACTACGATACCCGTCTATTAAGTATGGTATTTGCTTTCATACAAATTGAATTCTATACTTCATATGCGTCATTTATCAAACTAATCTATCTTATTTAGACACTATAAGCTGTAGGCTTGTGTTAAGAAAGGTTTACAATAGTATAATGGCGGGATTCGAACCCTCGACCTCATGAAAATAAATCCGTACCTCAAACCATTGGGCTACTGCGCTTTGTTTTGGATTCTGAAAATCTATAATAATATAATTTTAGTCAATATTTTTAATGATCTGAATATTTGTTATTTTCAACACTCGACTGCCAGTGATTTTTTTAAAAGTATTATTTTTATATAATGTTTGAAAATAGAAATTTAATTATTTGAGAATATGCTTAAGGAAGGAGTGGATTCAGATATGACGGCTGATAGAGATGTATGGAAGAGCACATACTGTGCCCTCCGTAAGGGATAAGGGCAAGTGGATGATGGGTGTTTGAATATAGTTTTAATAATAATGTACTGAGTTGTACTTACTATAAATGTGCCTTATTAATTCTTATTTTATGTAGTTATAATTTCCACTTGGATAATGTCTTCATATTAAATGTGTCAAATTTTGTATAAAATACGTAAAACTTAAGACTGTTGTGTATTATTTATTTTTTAAATTACTATTATTGAGAGAATCTCGCATAATGTCTGTATGCAAAATATTTTTATTAAATATATTTTTAATAATAGTTTGTGTTTTATTCAAAGTGTTGAAAAGGTTTGCTTCATTGAAATCTCTGTTTTGTTAAAATCGCAATATTTCTTAATAAAAGATGGGAAATAAAAACCCTTACTTTTTAGTATTGATTTTTTATTATCAGTCTTGATCTATTAATCTAATTTATTATCCTATTTAGTATTCACATATTTTAAATATTCTAAACAAGAATTTCGAAGATTCGAGAATTTTAAAACATTTCTTACATTCCGTTACAAGAAAGGGAGAGAATATATACAATAAGTTACAGGTGAGAGCGCCATCTATACTTCAAACAATACGTTAATTTAGCAAGTTACAAATAGATTAAAAAAAAAACATCGAGTAATATTTTTTGGATCTAAGAATAAAGCGTAGTAATAATATCATGGGGCGTGAGGTTTGCGGCGATAAGAGTTAAAAATAGCGGCTCTTTGGTGCTTTGTCGACTGGCCGATGACCTGCAGAAAACATTAAATAAAGTTATTTACTTTGTCACAATAAGTATATTGTATTGTTTTAGTCGAGTCACTTAATTGTGCTTTTCAAAAATCACACATTTATCTGACTCAAAGGACCATATCGATAAATTTATATTTAAAGAAAAGCTTTTATTTTTTAACTTCAAAACAAAAGTCTAAGGGTCTTTATATTTTTAGAAAACTGTATAAAGTGCAAATACAAATTACTCACTTTTCCTTCAAAAGAGTAACAAGTGGGCTCCATTTCTTAGGAAATTTCGTCTCATGGAATTTCCTCCAGCGATCTTTGACCAGATCGGATACGGATGCGTTCACAACTTTGAGGAATCCGCAAGAGTTTGTGAACGCGTCGACTAAAACTTGGTCGAAAAAATTCGGTATAAAGTCGTCGAGACACTTCCGTACTCCGAACAACGTTGCGTTCATATCCTGCGCGTGTTGGCGCGTCTTTATCTCAACAATCGCGATCAAGTTTGCTTGCATCGTTTCATTAAAACTGAAAATAATATTATTTCCTATACTAATGTAATAAAGCGTAAACACATCTTTCTTATAAAGGATGTCAGCAATCACAACATATTTTTCAATAATTCTATTTTTTAATAAGAAGCCTTAAACTTAAGACACGCTATAGGCTACACATGATAACGCTTTTTAATTTAGAGGGTGAATAAATTTGAAAATATTGACATACGAGAAAGGGACATAAACTACAATACAATAGCATCAAAACAAGGTTGCCATGGCAACGGCAATTGTAAGCCAATAGCAGAGGCCTTGGTTGTCATTTAAGTATTTTAGTTTTGACATTTACAAATGATAGTTCTAAGAAATGTAAACAATAGAACAAGATGTTATAATTTCGTGCTGTTGAAGCCACACGGGAACTGCTAATAAAATAAATAACTAGTCTAAACGATTGAATATAAAATAAACTTAAGTTTTTTAAGTAAAACTAACAGAACGGCTTGGTGCAGCAAACAGTGGGTTACCGCGACCTCGTCCGGCAGCTCGTTGTAGCAGCGATTCACCACCTCGAAGTTACGTGAGTCCTGGAAGTTCTTGATCACGTCGTGGAACTGGCCCCGGATCTGATCCACCTTCTCCAAAGGCTCCTTCAGACAGTGCTCGATTACGTCCACCGTCTAAGATTTTGAAGCTTTAGTAACTTCTTTCACAGAAGACCATTAAAAGATATGCGAAAATAGTAATGAGGTTTCACAAGTGAAGACAGAATTTTTAATTTCAGGATTAATGAAATAAAGTTAGTCTATGGTTATTGGTTCCTTATTTAACTGTATAAAGTTTCTGTAAATGTCCCAACATCAAGTGCCTATAGTCGTTTACTAAGCCTTACGTAGCAAAACATAATTACAGTTATGACTTACGATAAAGTTAAGTATTGTGACCTAAACGTGAATACCTTACATCACGTGTATATCACACGTGATGCAATTTTTTTTTATAACATAAGGTGACAAACGAGCAAGCGGTCACCTAAATTCACCGAAATGAAAAGCGACCGCTGCCCAAAAACATCCGCAGTTGCAGATGTGTTGCCTACCCTTAATTGACGGAGGAGGAGACGCACATAAAGAGGACATTTCCCCTTCCTATGCGTCTCCTCCAGCATCAAATCCACTTTTCCTTTCCATCCTTTCCTCTTAAGGTGGAAAGGGAAAGGGACTAAAATAGGGCCTCCGGCACAACACTCATCAGACGAAACTCGGAATTGCTTCTACTTCACGCCTGTCTTCTGTGTGGTCGTGGTATTACACCGGACGAGCCGGTACATTCGTGCAAAATGTTAAAGCGGGCTCTACCACTGCCCTAAACTATCGCACAACTGCTTAGTCTCGCTTTGATTCCTATGAGCTTATATAGAGGAGCGAAAACTACACGTTTTTAGTTGTTGACCTAAACAGTTGAATGGATTGCGAAATAATCGACAATCGCACTGCAGTTGTGTGACAGTTTAGTTAAAGTTGTGCGTTTAAGAGATTTACTATTATAAAATCCATAAATGTTTATTACTCTGTCATAGACAGCAATAAGAGATGTTCGCAATTTATTAGGACTACAGAATGCGTTTCTTACCTCTTCAATATTAACCACGTAATTAGTAAAATCATGAAAATATTTGATCTTATAGAATTTAACAATCGCACTCCTCAGTTCTCTCGCCATCTCCTCGTTCATGATATGCACGAGGTCTAGGAAGGTGTCCATCACGTGCAGGGAGCGATTCTTCAGCGTATTGTAGTTGTCACGACCTTGGACGAATAGTTTCTTTGTGATGGAATAAGCTTCCGAAACTAAATGATATTTCTCGTCTAAGTTTTGGAATACGTCTTTAGTACACTGGAATTTTAAAATTAGAGAATCATTTCAATAAATCGAGCTAGAATGAGAATTATGAATTTATTTATCTTACCTCTTTTAAATAGAAAAGTGTTATAAAAATAATAACTACATCGCAAACTTTCATTAAATTCATCACATAAAAATTACATACAAAAAGCTTTTATTTAAAAAGATATTGGTGACTAAAATTGTTTTTGCTCAAATTAAAAATATTAGCTAGTCTATGGTCACGTCACGTTTCCCGCCGCTCGTGTCGTGTTAGCGAATATGGAAATACGTAATGTTATTACATTTACGATGCAATGAAAGTTTTTAATTATTATGTGGTAATACACGTGTTTTTAGCACGTGATCTTCATCATGTGATCGAGAATGCATTATTAAAATTAACAACAAAATATGTTATCTTAAACTATCGAAACAGAAATACCTATAAATGCAACATAAACTTTGATGTTATTGACAGAAAGTGGTATCACACGCTTTTTGTAAATGTTTCGGATGTGAATTATTGTAGTTTTTCTACAATCACGCTGGCTGAATAGTTGATTGTATATTTATTTATATCTCTCTATTTATACTCTATACTAATATAATAAAGTGTAAACACACACTTCTTTGTTGCCTAAGATGTCAGCAATTACAGCATATTTTTGAATAGTTCTTTTTTTATAAAAAGCCCTACACTTACGACACGCTTTAGGCTATGTATTTTCACGCCAATAAACTTAGATGAAAATATTTTAGATAAAATACCTAATGTGGAAAAGATAAGTTGCTGCCAACATTAAGGAAACTAGATTGCCAAAGTTTGTCATGTCATGTCAGTTTGACACTTACTATTGATAATTTGACAAATGTAAACAATAAAATAAAATTTTCATAGTTTCATGCGGATTGGAACAGCTAGTACTAATATAATAAAGTGTAAACACACGCTACTGGTTGCGTAGAATGTCTGCAATCACAGCATATATTTTAGAATATTTTTTTAATGAATAGCCCTACACTTACGACATGCTTTAGACCATATATTTTTACGCTATCAACTTAGATAGTAAATTATTTAGAAAAAACTGTCATGCGGGAAAAGGACAAAACTACAAGCTGACATCAAGGAGGCAAGGTTGCCATGGTAACGGTAATTTTTTTTCAATGTCATAAGCCTTTATTGTCACATGTGTATTTAAAGTTTGCAACTGACTTTTAACGGAACATAAACAATAAAATAAAGTTTTTATAATCAGATAGGTATGAAGGATAGTAACTTCTAGTTTTAAAAATAAAAAAACAAAATCTAAATATGAATCGTTTATTAAAATAATATGCTTAATAATACATTTATATAGCATAAACAAATATTATGTATTTTATTATAAGAACACCATTCAGGTGATCAAAGAAGAATAACTTAATGGTAATTACTCCTTTCTACTCTGTTCTTTAGACAGTGTATTGTAAATTTCAACCATAGACATATAATCTATAGATAGACCGGACAAAAATATGATAAACTTCCAGAGGTTTTTTATTAGGATAAATTTACTCAATGCTACAATCATCATCATCATCATCATTACCAGCTCACTATTCGTCCCCACTAAGGGGCTCGCCAACCCTAAGCTAGTGACTAGGCCAGTGGTTCTCAAGCACTGCGCCGCGGAACTTTTGTGTGCCGCCAAATTTTGCATATTTTATGTCAGAAACTATTTATGCAGTGTGTTATAGAAAGTAATTTTTATCTTTTTCTTTGTGCGCCACTAAATTTTAAATTACTTTAATATGTGCCGCAACAAAAAAAGGTTGAGAATCACTGGACTAGGCCTTAGTCAACCCATGAACTGCGGGTTGACTTCACATATATTGAATTACCTTGTCGATTGTGAATCACTATATTTCCTTCACCGTAACAACGTCGGATAAATTATGTACATGAAATTCGAAAATTACATTGGTACAGCGGGATTCGAACCCAATACTTGCCGCCCTAGACAAAGTGACTTTCGATTAGCGATATCGCTTGTAAAATCGACAAAACGTGTCAAATTTTATAGGAATAAATTAGAGTTGTAACCGAACTCCGCTTCCGCATCCGCAAGTGCATAACTTCCGCAAGAAATGATAACTCCGCATTCGCATCTGCATCCGCTTCCGTTAAAATGGCCTCCGTTACAACCCTAGAATACGTGAGAACCACGTGACCTATTGAATGTTGTCAGTTCCATATATTTTTGACTTTATTTTTATAGCGATAATCGAATATTACTTTGTCTAAAGGGTTACAGATTACAAGTCAAATGCTTAAATGAGACATCGACGCTTTTAATGCTACAATACTTAGCAAGGGCGGTTCCAGCTTTGGCGCAGGGGGGGTCACATAGTCGTGGTCAATTCTACCAGCTCAGGGGGGGGGTCACACCCCCATTACCTCCCCCTGGATCTGTCGTTGATACAGAATGACATTTGGTAAATGATTTATCGTTCGTCAAACTTTGACACTCCATCTACAGATCCTATATCTATTAGATGTTAGGAATAAAATTAGTACCGTGCTATAGAATTGGCGCAACTCTAGATTATCGGCATAAACGGCACGTCCCTAGCTGACAGCTGTCAGTGTCTCAAGAAGTATGGATAGATTGGCGCGTAACTTGAGTCTTGACGAGAAGTATTGCTCTGAGTTAAAAGCAACAGTATCAATTAAATAAGTTGTCTAATATTAATAAGTGAGCTGTTAGATCTTAAAGTAATTTTTAAAATCCAATTACTAGATTATTTATTTAGTTTTATAGCTTACAATAGGGCCTTTCCCACCACTGGCTGATAGAGACTCAGATAGCTTAAAAATCACGTCACTCTCAGATAAAGTAACAAAAATCGATATTTCCATATTTTACTTGTTGGATTGTTATCAGACAATTTACAATTTGGTGGGTCAGGCCCATCTTTTTAAATTCTCTTATACATGCTTCAAACACTATTTATGTATCTATTAAATTGTGTAAAAATTGAGTAACATTTAATACGCTTATAATTATCTTAATTTCATTTGAGATATCAAAAATGACTTAATATTTATTATAAGAAGCATTGTTGAGCTTTTATTTGATCTGAAACAAAATTTTCATTTAGAATATTAGTTAACAATATTAAAATCTTACTATTATTATAAACTAGCTTTCGCCCGCGACTTCGTCCGCGTGGAATTAAAACAGATTAAAACATATAGCCTATTTTACTCACTGATAAGCTTTTTAATAATGTAAGAATTTTTAAAATCGAAATAACTCAAAAACTAATGGGACGATTTTAAAAATTATTTCACCATCAGAAAGGTAATTTATCTGTGAGTAACATAGGCTATATTAATTAAAAAAGCCACACGGGAATAGCTAGTAGAGTCTTACCAGCATTCAGTCCTTGTGGAGGAACTTATTGAAGGCTCCGTAGGAAGTCTCCAAGTCGAACACCAGCTGCCGGACCTGGCTCTCCGACAGCTCGTCCGCTGCAGACATCTCTGACAGCTTGTCCAGCCATTCTTGTACCTGTAAGTTATTCTTCATTACCTCTTACACCGAGAAAACCCAATCCTAAATATTTCTATACTAATATAATAAAACGTAAACACACTACTTTGTGGCGTAGGATGTCAGCAATCACAGCATGTTTTTGAATAATTCTTTTTGTAATAAAAAGTCCTACACTTACGACACGCTATAGGCTATATATTTTCTAACTATTAAAGTTAGGAGTTAAATAAATTGGAAAAAACCCCCACATGGGAAAAGGACCATAAATTACAAGCTGGCAACATTAAGAAAGCAAGGTTATTATGGTAACTTGAATTTTGACCTTTGCAATTGAAAATTTGACAAATGTAAACAATGAAATAAAGTTTTTATAATTTCATGCAGATTAAGCCGCACGGGAACAGCTAGATTTTAGTAATTGGTTTTAAATTTATATTTGTATACTTCATTTTATATTGGTTGTTTTAAAATAAACGTATAAATTTAGCCATGTGGGACGTAAGATTTTGATTGTAATTTTAACGTTTTAACTTTTTATCATATTAACATTATAAATGCGAAAGTTTATATGGATGTTTGTGAAATTTGGTACAGATGTAGAGGATAATCTGGAAGAACACATAGGCTACTTACTTTTGTTTTTGTTAATTTCACGCGGACAGAGTTGCGCGCGAATTCTAGTAAATAAATAAAGAATGCATCCTAGTCCCTGACCCTAAACATATCAGGGAAACGAGAAAAAATAGCGTAAAAACACAATATATTGTTATATACCATGTCAGCAATCACACAACATTTTTGAATAACCTTTTGTAAGATTTAAACTAGATTTTTTCAATTTTTGAGACCATAAACAAGGTTACCTTAACTTTCCCTTCAAAGTCCTCGGGCAGCATGCTGAGATGATCCATGGTGTCCTTCAGGTCCCGCAGCTCCGGCTGGATCATGTCCATAGCGCGCAGTTCCAGGCGCAGCTTGTCCATTAAAGTTATGAACAACTGGAATTACAATTATTTTTAATGTAGGTGGGCTAGTGGTAAGTATTTCGTCTATAAAATTGATTCAGGAGTACTAAGTCGTACATGATCAAAAAGTGATTTACTTACGGAGACAATCTCAGCAATGTATTTATTAGTATTGCCTTTATCGTCTTTGATCAGATTTGGTCGGTTCTCACGTATCCTCTCTAACGCGGCTGGACAATCCAGCTGTAAATTTAATTCAAAATAATTAACATACAATGAAATAGAAAAAAAACATGTATAGATATTAACTTTGTATCAAAAGTAAAATAGAATGTCAAAACAATAATTACAAACTACTGTTAATAGCTTGATAGCAAATTATTCTTATTTGACAGTCTTCACTAGATTCTACCACAATGGTAGCAAAAATATGACTCAGATCTGTATGCTAGAGGGGTAGGCAGAGACCATACACCTCCATTTAACTAGAACAACACAATTCTCTTGCTTCCACATACATCCACAGTTTTGGTTATTTATATTATAAAAATTATTAAAAATATTTACCCTGAACTTGGTAACAAAAGCTTCTATAGTGGGAAACTCATCTCCCTGCACCTGTTTAAAGGCCACTCTGTATTGTACCAGCAGTCTACTGCAGGCCGCCATGTACTCCTGTGCACGCACACAGTCCCTCATGTATGCCTTCTCTAAATGCTGTAATGTGCTCACTACTGCGTATAACTCTGCCATGTTGTCATGCCTATAAATTGTTCTTGGTTAATAGAGTTAAGCATAAAAATGAATAAAATCATCTGCTGTTTAATTGTACTTATTCAATTCTTTAGATTGACATTTCGAACATTTGACTTGCTAAAACTACAATAAGGGAATCAATAAATATTTTACAGTTCATGTAACACAAAAGTTTGATAAATAAATAAATTAGTGAATTTAAGGTATGTGAAATTTTAAATGATCGTCTTTTACTTACTTTTCACGTTCTCTAGCATTTCTGTAGAGTTTAACCTCTTCGTAAAGTTCTGGTCTAGTATCTGGAATGTACATTCAATTTAACAAAGCAAATATTCGAGGAAAATGTAAGAAAAAAACAAACAATCGATGACTCAGTTGTTCGTAAGTTTTTACCTTGCATATTTATCTTTGTATTACACAAATTGCAGGAGTATTAACGATAACTGAAAATAAGCTTAAGTAAGGTGTACGTTAAATAAACAAGTTATTATATTAATTTTATCAAATTTTATTCTAGTCTTCGCTCGCAAACAAAATTGACACATTGATAAAATTGACTGCGACAAGTCAGAAATTCTGACATTGACAATACTGAGATATTGTGGCCGTAAATTACAGCTGTTATACCTTTTATAGCAGCTAAAATGAAGTTAACAACGATGCAGCAATCAAGTGAGGACGAAATGAATAATGTTGAAATTTATATAAAATCTTAATTTTAAAACAAAAATCACAAATTGTATACGAATTCTTCGTAACTCGTAACGTTATAATCTCGGGATGACGTAATCAACCAATATGGCGGATGACGCGAGCGCTCCCGCTCACCCCGCACCCCTCAAGTAGTTTTGTCGGATGGGTAACGCAAGTTGCACTTGTCCCGGATGATTTCGCCGTGTGATGAATGAAAATAATCGTCGCTTTTTTCGGTGCATGGATTAATAACATAAACTAAATACTTAAACTCGTATCGTTTGTGATTGTGGTGCATTTAATGTGGATACGTTGTGTGTTCAACGAGTTTTATCATTTACGATACTGTCAACTGAAACCGATGTTTTCGTGCTAAAAACACGACGTTGTGCTGTTTTCGAAAACTACGAGTGTTTCAATTCTTCTTTATGGGATCTTGTTGCTAACCAGGTCAGTACAACGGGTAAAGGAATTACGTTAGTATTTGAAATAGTAATTTGCATACTAGAGTTGTTTCCGGTGAAACAATGTTTTGCATTGATAAATGTTACGTTCTTATCTTGTTTTTATCGCTATAAATACCGGGTGTACTGCTACACCTATTGTTTATTTCGTTACGTGTATTTTTTCCTATTGGAATGCGCTCGGCGTGAGTTTGAAGCGAGGTGAGGCTTGGGCGCGGCGTTGGTTGTCCCACTTTTGATAAACCTGGGCTACTTGGCACGTATGGTCACAAGCTGAACATTTATGCTTGCTATTATTATATTACATTATTTAGCAATCGCATGTTGAATACATGTTGAAGATTTGAAGTTTCCACTTAAGTTTTTTTTGTTAAAAAGTTCTGTGTTAGCTAAAAACTGTATGACCTATATAGTTTTTAGTACAAGAGAATAATGTTTTTACAAAACTTCCATTTATTGTTTTTTATGATTTCATTCACCTGTTCTAATCAGTAATTATCTATGACCGAATAAGTATTGCAATAGGCAATTTAAAAACAAGTTTTTAAAACAAGAATTGCAGATAATGAAGTAATTAGTAATTAATGCTTTGAATAAATGTACAAATAAACAATTAACTTTTGTGGTACATTTCTTATTACTATAAATGAAATAAAAAGCAGACACAATTTTTAACCAGACCACCAAGAGCTTATCACCTTTTAGGTTAGATCTAGTAGGGGGGGGGGAGGTAATATATTTAAACAAATGAGTTGCAAAACAAAATCTTCTTATTTAATATATACTAGAATTGCTTTAACATCATGTTTTAAGGTTTTCATAACCTTCTTAAATATCATTGTCTAAGCATTTACATAGTTTAAAAATTAAAAATGTATTAATACAATGACATCAGAGGAATTTAATGGCAGAATCTATTCGGAATCTGGCTAGCACATGTGTCTTTATTTCTTCCTAAAGCTTCAAACATGTGTTGCAATTTTTAATAAAAACCCAATTAGTTTATTTTTCATAATTGTGCTTTGAATTACAGTTTTGTGGTCTACTGTTATTTATAGTTGGGTTATTAGTGTATTGTGTTAGGTAAATTTCCTGCTAACAATTATATGTTTTCACAAAAATAATCTTGTAATATTAAAAATTTTATTAAGTAGATTTGGTAAGTGAGGGGTTCCCTTCCTCACATGTGTGGGTAAGGGAATCTCTTTTCTGTGTCTTCTCTTTGACTTTAAAGATAGATGATAGTCTGAAAAAAAAGTTTTCTACAATGGAATATTGAATTACATGTGGATACTTCACTATATTATGAATTGTGGCCAAGTAACTTAACTGAACTATTTTCCTTAACCAGAGATGAGGGAAAACATGCATTAACTATGAATTAAAATTATCTAATTAAATACTAAATCAGAATTTTAATATTTTAGTCTTTGTCTTCCTAATTTATAGCCCGTTACAAATTTTAGTTAGTTAATCAGGATGACTAATGCTAGTTGAAGTATACACTAGTGTTATTATTAACTAGTGATTTATTAGTGTTAGGTTAAGCTATATTTAAATCAACTAAACACAAGTTACATAGTTTTGAAACATATTTGTTGAAGTTATAGAATAGAAGGCCTATATTTAGTCCCTTTTCCTTTCCACCCTTTGTTTCAGAGGAAAGGATGGGAAAGAAAAGTGGATTTGATAGTGGAGGTGACGCATGGTAAGGGGAAATGTCCTCTTTATGTGCGTCTCTTCCTCCAGCAGCGGTCGCTTTCCGTTTTGGTGGTTTTAGGTGGCCGCTTGCTCGTTTGCCACCTTATATTATAAAAAAACCAAAAACCCTAAGAAATTGTTAAAAGTAGACAGGAAACAGGGCATAAGATAAATGACGTCACGCAATGTACTGTGCTGCTGTATCAAGTAGTGCATCTATGGCTGATGTCATTCTGATGACACTAACAATGAGGGTTCGAGGCCAGTCCAAGGTCCTGTAGGAATTTGTGTTGATTACCAATTGAGTTGACACAAATACCTATGATTTATGTGTGTGACATTAAACCTTTGTGTAATTGGTACTTTTAATTTTCGAGTGTTTAATTGTTTGGAAGGTCAATATTAATTTGGGACTCGGTGCTCTCGGTGGGGATGTATATGATGTCCAAATGAATAGTAGTTATATGCAAAAATCTTTTATAATTATTCGAGTATCCTAAGAAGCAACTTACGTGGGAATTTTTCCAATCCGATTTACAATTACTTAAAATTAACCGCAATTGTATAACGCAATTTCAGTGCGAAATATGCGGTCGTAATATAAGCTGTTTCACTCAAGTTTTGTAGAAAAGTAGATGTTTTGATAAGACATTAGCTAGGGTTAGACTCAACGGTAGACAAGAATACGCATTAAGGTGAACGCCCTACATAATGGCAATTGAATCATGTTAGAAAACAATTGGCCTGGTAACGTTAATCAATTACTACGGGATAATAAAACATCGGGGCCCCAACCGCACCAGCTAATTCCAGTCCCACTATAAATACCGTGGTTGTAAACTCAGCTAAATCGTTGTGAAATGGTTGCTACGGGATAAATGGGTTAGTGATCGCGTTGCTATTAAATGAATCAGGCGTAACGCGTGCCTACGATGTACTACTATATATAACTCGATCTGATAGACTTGATGGCTCAGTGTTTGAAGCGATAGATCTTGCTTTGAATCTCAATTAACCATAGAGAATATGACCAGGAAGAGAACCATAGACAAAGATTTTTTAGACCAGTGTCACCTATTCCGGTATTTAAAACCAATACAACTAAGGGTCCTTCAAGAAGCGAGCCTACCATTTCTTCAAAGGCTGGCAACGCATCTATAGTTCCTTTGGTGGTGCGGATGTCTATGGGCGTCGTTGACCACCTCGGTGTTCCCGCTGCTCGTTTGCCCCCTTTTATTATAAAAAAAAACCAATGATTCCGCTTCGGAATTAGGAAAGAGTGATTAGGTATTACACAGAAACAGTAAATTATTTTAAAAAAAACACGTAATTTTTCAATAAAAGCTCATTAAGTATTAAGAGCATATTATCTCTTACAGTAATAAATAAATGTCAAATTGAATTCGCAGAAACATTGTTATTTCAGAGAATTTTTACATGATTCGAATCATATTTTTTCGAGAATCGTAAAGTATAATTGCGAAATGCATTTGGTACGGAGCCAAAGTGCTTCCTGAATGAGTTCCTGAGGGAAAAAATATGAGGGAATTTCCTGTTCTCGGTTAATTATACAGTTTTGAGTAGTGGTTGAGCTGCCGGGAATTGTTTGTTATGTATGTTTTAGCTAATCAAATTGCAGATAGAATTTTGTATTCGACAGAATTATGGAAACACAGTTTGAATAAATGCATGTCACGGAATAGCGAAATATAATTTGAATAAGCAAGGTGATACGTTTTTAAGTTTTATTGTCTTTGAATATAGTAGTGACATTTTATTAGATACATTGAGATACGAAATCAGACAATTAAATAATATTTGTTTTTTTTTACAATCACCACGAAGTTAAATGAGACAAATTGTTATTTGAAATTAGGACAGTATTTTGATAGTAGACAATGCTTTTGTGCATTGTATTTAGAAAACATTTGTTTATGTACGAAATATTTTTTTATCAAAGTCGTGTGATTTTACATTATGTGGGTCATAGAAGCCCGGAACGGGGTTTCTACTGTTCAAACTGGATCAACAAACTGGTTATAGCGATAATGCGTACAATTTCTTATTTAAAGTAAATATTAATTAGACAAGTATAAATTTAGACAAAGAAATTCATACACAACTAAGCTGTATCTAGTTTGCCATTAGAAAAGCTGCACTTTGTTAATTATCAGGCCAATCGTCTGGGTGTCTTCAGGAAAGTAAGTCAATAGTACCGGTTAAACATGGGCCTGCACCGGTCTTGCCTTAAATGGTCCTTCGAGCAGGATACGTCCCTCATTCAAAACAACTCGCTTCTCTACACATCTTTATATGAACTCATTATATTCTATGATTGGTTGGTAACTATCTAAGTTAAGAGATTAGGAGAAAATAATTGGATTTTACAGAATTTAATAGAAATATTCTCTTTTCAAGCATACCAGTGGGTATGGCTAATAATTTAGCATGAAATTCACAATTAGTTTTTAATTTTGTAGTTTTACATATGTAATTTCGCATACGACAACTCTATATATCTTTTTATTTTAAAATATTGAAAAACCTTATTGTTTCCGAAGAACCCTTGGCTTATTTCTAAACCTTAACTGCTCACCTTAATGTAAATCGATTGCATCTGACGGTTACATTTAATAAAATTTCCCGTGCTGAAGGTCAAATTCGCACTTCTGAGTTCAAAGACTTTCGTACGTCTAAA